GCTCTTTGAACTTTGAAAATGTCATTCTTAGTTTGGTTTTTATTAATTTATTTTCCCAAACCTTAATAAATTCGTTAAATTGACCCAGTAATCTTTATATAACTAAGATATTTGGCACTAAAAGGGTTAAGAATTAAAATTCAATCCTTATTTCTTGCAATTAAATAATCTTAATTCTTAATCAGTCGAGTATGAATTAAAAATGAAACATTAATTACTAATTCGTGTTAAACAGAATGAAATCATTTTATAATTTGGTTTAATCATTTATCATCAACCCTGTCCCTGCTCATGTCTGGTCTAACAAATTACCAATCGAAGGTTTGCTTCTTTTCAACATCTGTTTCTAAATCTAAGATAGAAATAATATCAAAATATAATTGCGCCGAGTTCCTTCCTAGCTTCGAGTCGCGCGACGAAGTAGAAATTCCTCACGCGTTTTTTTATTTACAACGAGAATACAAAAGAACGTAGCGTTACGACGATTAGAGCGTTCAGTTTAGAATTTATCTCGCTAGTAAAAGGAAGTTGCGCGGCGATACCGTGTGCGTGGGTGTATGTACGTATGTATATGTTGTCTATATATTTTTATATAAATACGACACACATGTATATACATACAATTCACGGGAATGCTTGTCACCTATGTTCTTTTTTTTTTTTTTCCATGGTGCAAGGTAACTAAAGCTGATATATCGATCTATGCCTAACTATTGTCAATCCTTCGGCTCGATCGGATTTATCTCCTAGAAACTAGTTATCGTTGTCAATGCACAATTATTATTTATTAATTAAGTTCACTCTTAGAATTGTAAGAGAAATGTATAAATAGTGAAATGAGATGATAAGAAATGATCGAAGTAACTGAAATCTGTGGGGATTGGAAATAAATAAAAATGGAGAATGGACAGATGCTTGAATAATGGAAGATTCTGTGACAATGACAAACGCAATGAAGCCGCGGTTCGCAGTCAAGGAAGCGCTTTTAAACTGTCACTCGCTGCCAGTATTACGTGTAGACTGCGAAATAGGAAAGGTATTTATCAGACAAGTTCCGACGCTCCGGTATAAAATTAATACCTCACGGAGATTCTCCTGCGCCGTGACGATGTCGTAGAAAAATTGCGAGTATTGCTAAAGGATCGCTTGCCATATTCTCCGGACGTTTCTCAAAGAATTAAGGACGTTAGTCCCAAAATCCATTTTCTATAAAATGTTTTGAAATTTTGCATGAGTATTCAATAGAGCATCACAAATATATGTGTAAAATCTTAGAGAGTTCTGA